TTTACTTGATTGTGACCGCCTACACTTAGATCCGATGAAGTGTAGTTGAGAGTTATCACGCACTTTCCAAACTTTGGAGGATATGTTGGGAGCCTGTGTAATTTACTTCAAGGGTAATTGAGACGATCATTTGCCTTTGATTAAGTTTGCATATAACAATAGCTATTACTCAAGTATTGGAATGGATCCATTTGAGGCATTATATGGTAAGAGGTATAGATCTCCTATAGGTTTGTTTGAAGTGCGTGAAGTCACTTTGATAGGCCTCGAGTTGGTACATGATGTTATGGAAAATGTTTGACTTATTAGAGGAAGGTTTAAAATGGCTCAGAGTCGGTAAAAGTCATTTGCCGCTATTAGAAGAAGGAATCTTCAAGTTAATGTGAATGATTGAGTTTATTTGGAAATTTCACCAATGAAGGGTGTAATGAAGTTTGGTAATAAAAGGAAGCTTAGTCCTCGATATGTAGGTCCATATAAGATTTTGAGACATATTGGTAAAGTTGATTTTGAGCTTGAATATCCTAATGAATTGGCATCGGTACATCATGTTTTCCATGTCTCTTTATTGAAGAAATGTGTTGGTGATCCGACATCTATAGTTTCCTTAGAAGGTTTGGGAGTTAAGGAGAATATTACTTATGAAGTAGTTCTGTTTGAGATTTTAGACCGGCAAGTCAAGAAGTTGCGAAATAAAGAAGTTGCTTCCGTGAAAGTGTTGTGGACGAATCAGTTAGTTAAGGGTGCTACTTGGGAGGCCGAGGCTGATATGATGTCCCATTATCCTCATCTATTTCCTTCTACCCCTACTCTAGCTTGAGGTATTGAGTTCCTCATGGTTTACTCTTTGGTGTCATGTGTCTTTGATATTCCCATGATTTCCTCATTTATCCATAATCATGAACAAAGCTTAAGTTTTGAAAAACTGAGTCAACTTAATTAATCTCTACATGATTATTTTCATTTGATTATGAGTGGTATATAGACTTCATAATATAATGTTTCGAACATGCTTTAGCTTGGAGTTGATGTTTTATCCTCGGATATGTACTTTTATGTAATTGTGTACATGTTGGGCTGCTAGATTTCGGTTATTTTCTTTCATGTGATGTCTAGAACCGTATTCGATGTAGTATGTTCCCAAGGGGAAGATAATGTAATACATCGGAGTCAAGAAGTCTAGAAAAAGGGGCAAGTGGGAGGTCACCAGCCCATAATTGAGCCATGGCACCCTTCAAAGAGCCCTTGACTGGCAGTGAAGGGAACCACGACTCGCGGTGGTGCTCGTTGAGCCTTCCTTTGCTTTGCCAAGAGGGGCTCCCCTCCCACGAGCCCTTAAATGGCTCATGGTGAGCCAGAACCCACCCCAAGTCCAGCCCATTCTCAGTGACCTCCAGATGAGTCGTGAAGAGGCAAAAAACCCATGAAACTGGTCTTGAGGTGTGACAAGGATTTAAAGGGGCCTTCCCAATCCACTGTTCTAGGTTCATAATGAGTCCGAGATTTTGACTCATTTGGAGCTTTATTTAGATAGATTTAGTGTCCTCAAATGCTTAATTTATGCCATAAACTAATGATAAGCCCTTGATTTTCAGGTATATGGATTGAGGAACAAAGCAAGAACACTAACATGCAAAAAGGAACAAAACAAGCTGAAGAATTAAAGAAGGCGAGCCTGGTGATCGCCAAGAGCGTTTGGCGAATCGCCGAATGGCTAATTCCACCGCCTAATGTTCTAGTGTGCTAGCCTTGAGAGAAGAAACCATGTCGGTGACAAGAAAGAGCAGTCGGCGCATTGCCGAGCAGTTACGCAAAGCATTGATAGATTACCCAAAGTTACATAACCCAAGGATGCTGAATGATAAGGCGAAAAGGTGGTGTAAGAGATCAAAGGGCGGCTCGCCGAGTGACTCGAGTTCAAGTAGTTCGGCGAGCCTGACTTACTTCGCTGAATCCCTATTCGTAGCATTTTTTGGCCACTATAAATACGTTTTTAAACATTTTATTTATCATTAGAACATATGCTGAGAAATTAACTTAATCTTAGACCATTTTTACATAGTTTTTCTTTAGCTTTGAAGATTGGGAGAAGTTTACTTTTGAGAATTTGGAAGTGGGTTTCTAAGATTCATCAACTAGAGCATTGTAAAGACAAAATTAGTCTTACCCAATTGATGGATAATCAATTTGGTAACTGTTTTTTTACCTTTTTATAATGTCTAGCTAAAACCCCAATTCTTTGGGTGTGATCATGTGATTATGTGCTGAATTAGTTTGTGGTTTTTGCTAATTGTTAGTTTAAATGCTATTTAAAAGTGAGTTCAATCATTAAGTGTGGTCTAATTTAAGAATTTTAGTTGCAAATGCAGTTCTATATTTGTGTTCTTGGCTTGCTCGAAAGAGAGGTTTTAGAACTATGGTTATTGATTGATGGTTTCTGAGCATTGAGTTGATCTGGGTATAGATCGAGAGAGTAAATCCTAAACCCAATCCCACACATATATCTCGAGAGAGTGAATTGACTAAGGTGTGAGCTGCTTTTAATTTTCATGCTTCTTGATATTAAAAAAAAATCAACCTGATTCGGGATAACTGTTCTAGAGAAAACTATCCCCCTTAGAGTCTAGCCTACTTACTAATATTTAGCTATTTACTAATAGTTGCAATTACCCATATGCCTATATTTTCCTATAATCGATTACTTCCTAAGAATCCATCTTCCTATTGTAAATTCGAAGTTTTTGTGACTGTTTGTAGTTGATAACTAAAGCCAAAAACCCCCATTTGACATTTGTGTCACCCCTTTTTACTTGATTATGTCTTTAATCGATAATTTATATTACAATGGCTAATTAGACCACATTTGTACTTCCTAATTGAATTTGAGACACGTACCACTCCTTGTGGTATTCGACCCCAACTCATTTAGTTGGGTTTTATACTGATTTACGATCGTTAAACACCTAGAATTGGATGAGGTGTGCTTAAAACGTCAAATCAAAATGGCACCGCTGCCGAGGACTGGTGTTGTTTGAAATTCTTTTGGTGAAGTTTAATTGTGTTCATCTTAGTTATAGTTGAATCTATTTATTTTTGTTTTTGGTTTTGTGTTGCTTGGGCTAAATAGAGGAGATGAGTGTAAACAGTAGTCAGGTAGCCAAGTGGGCCACCAAGATGATATCGGGAATCTCACCGATGTCAATGACCAAAAAGTCAGTGATCCAGTCAAAATGCGTGGTGTTGGGGCCAATTGTTTGCCTCCAGCTGAAGGGAACACATTTTCCACATTACAAGCAGCATGCTTCATCTCCTTCAACTAAAGGGTTTATTTGGAGGTTTGGCTTATGAGGATCCCCATGAGCATATCATGAATTTTGTTGATGTCTATGGACGGTTCTCATTTAAGAACATATCACAAGAATTGGTCCAGTTGAGGTTGTTCCCATTTTCTCTTAAGGGCGAGGCAAGCAAATGGTTGGCAGAGTTGCCAAGAGATTCCATCACTTCGTGGGAACAGTTTATTACTGCATTCCCTGTGCGCTTTTTCCCTCCTTCGAAGATGATGACTCTTAGGTAAAACATCTAAGATTTCAAATGCTTTGGAGGGCGAGCCAATCCATGAGACGTGGCTGAGGTTTAAGAAGCTATTGCTCGAGTGCCTGACTCATGGAATCCCCGATAAGGTGCTGCTGGAATGTTTCTATAGAAGTCTTGATTCAGTAAATAGAGAAGTGGCTGACCAAATTTCTCTAGGTGGTATAATGCGACAACCCTATGCGATAGCATCCCAACTCCTCGATTTCATGACTAAGATCAATAAGGATAAGGAGAGGGACCAAAATCTTGCAAAAATGATGACCCAGCTGGATATCTTGGCCAAAAATATCATGGAATTTGAAGTGTTGTACAAAAAGGAAATAAACTTCTTAGCCAATCAAGGAGGGAGTCATCATGTAAATTACTTTAGGTCAGGTGGTAACCAAGGATGGAATAGAGAGGGGGAGAAGGATAGGTACGTTCCTCCCCATGAGCGTCAAAAGCCCAAGGATTATGAGGGTGGCCAGACAGGAAATATACTCTCACGTATTCTCAACGAAGTCGAAGGATACGACTGAGTGTTGAAAGAGATAAAAGAGAATTTCCTAACTCTAAATCTAATGGTGACCTCTCATTCAATATCTATTACGAAGTTGGATACCCAAATGGGTCAAATTTCTTCACATCTTAACCCATGACAACAAGGGGGGTTGCCTAATAATACTATGGCAAACCCCAAAAATGAAACTTGAATGGGTACTTGTGTCGTGCCATGACGTTAACTAAGGCTCTTCTTGGAGTCAATGATGCTTATCGTGACTAACGACACTATCCTACGGTATGAGTGTTTACGATCATCGATAATATAGTAACCCAACAAAGGGTTGGGGTCGTGTCCCAAGGGACACTAAAACATTTTAGGCTTTCAGCCACCCTTGTAAAGTGTGGCCTAAACTAGCAAAAAGTGTGGCCTTTGATAAAAGGCAACACTTTTTGACTTTTGGCAACACTTTTTGGGGGGTGGCCTAAAGAGGCGTAACCTTTGACCTTAGGCTACACTTTTCAAGTGTTACAGTAGCAGCTACACTTAAAAAGCGTTGCCGATGAGGTACAAAGGCCACACTTTGTAGCATCTCATTGGCAACACTTTTATTTGATAAAACTACACTTTCTAGTGTGGCCTTTGCTTTGTTATTAGCCACACTTTAAAAGTGTAGCCTTTTCAAGTGTATGTACTACATTTTATAATCAATAAGCCACACAATTGGCATCCCTCTAACCACACTATTAAAGTGTGGCAACGTTGTTTAGAATTTTTCTAGCCACAATTTCTAATTGAAAATTAATAAATTTGGTTTGGATAGATTCACTAATCACATAATTGTATAATATAAATGATCTCAAGCATCAAATTAGCTAATAAAGAGTTCAATATATAGATTTACAATAAACATCGAAAAAGATGTCTTGTACTACATACTTAGAAAGAAATATTTTAAAGAGGTGTACTAGCAATAAATTTCACAATCTATTCTAACATATATAATAGTAGTTCAAAAACAGTATATCGTTCGCTCCAATATATTGAGTTGACCTGCTGCTATCATTCAAATTTGATCACCTATATTTTCCTACACATTCAAAAGAAAATTAAATGTTAGAAAAAAATTCACGCTTGACACTAGTCATGGTTAATCATCCTATGAGAGCTTTAGAAAAAGAGGAACAAGATGATTCATGATAGAAGAATCAATTTTTATAGACTAGTAAATCATGTACATACCAACATATGACAGTTGATTAAAACCAATTATCCTAGTACCTGAGAAAATCATCACTAAAGCATATAACAAACATTCTCAAACATAATTAGAAGTACATGTTCACAACCATACCTTTAGCACCCCTATTCTGCCAAAATATTCAGCTAGCATATCTTCATCTGTACCAAGGGGCAAGTTACAGACATACACAGAACCATTAATTGGAGATCCTTTCCCTGAATTGCTTGCCATTTATTCTCCAATTTCATCAATTTCACTGACACAATAAAACCCCCAAGAACTGGATAAAGCAAAAATCTAGTATTAGTCCTGCTACAGTTTCCTTGTCCTTAAAAGTAACTACAGGCAATTACATTAAACTGAGAAAAGCACCAATGTATGTGAAAGTCAAAGGACAAAACCAACAGAAATCAAGAGAAAAGTAAAGAAAAAAATTATATGAGGTAGGGTGTAGGGTGGAAGTTGGGATGAAGCACAACTTACAGGTGGTGGGATGAAAACATAAATGCCACTTGATGGAAAAAATTTCAAAACACAGCTGGAATTTAGTTAATGTTTTGTTACTGTAATCTTGTAATACATTAAGGAAAGAGCTAAGTATTTATGGTCTTTTATGAGTACAAAATTTCAGGTCAATGGGCTAAAAGCACGTGTAACATACAATACTTTTGAGTATACCCATTTCGAGAACACCATGATATGAAGAAGATGACAATATTTGAATCACAAAACTGCTGCTACCTTCAACTAAAAATGTCACATCAGATAGCGTATAATTATTTACGTACTGCTCACCTAGATAGACCTGCATAAAGAAATGCACAAGGAGAAAATAAGGAAAAGAGATGTAATATAGGATCAAATACATTGTCTAATTACTGCACCATGAATGGTTATGAATGACCTATAAGTCAATTGAGAAACTAACATACAAACTAACAAACATGAAAATACAGAAAGCCGACATACAAACAAACAAACATGAAAAGCTCAGATAACATTATTAATTGGTGAAGAAAGTGAACATTAAGTAAAACTGTGGCGAAAACAGCCTATGGAATTTGTCAACATGCGAACCATGAACCCTCCTCAAACAATCACCAAAGTGTAGACGAGTTACTCCCAAAATCTAAATCCTCAAAATTTAGGGATTAGTAAACCCCTCATATTGCCTAAATGATTTTCAGAATACACCAAGCTTGCCAGCAATCAAGGGTCAGTGAGTGAAGTTTTCAGAACTCAACTATTTTGTATTACTAATACCATAAAACAATTGACAATGTTATAGATCTGAATAAGAGATCGACAGGAATACCAAGTATTGGTATATACACCCTCCCAGAACAAAAAAAAAACGTTCAGTGAAGCAAATTTAGCATATTAAGAGAGGGTTCTAAGGTCTTCTACACCTCATTAGCATAACAGATACCAAGAACAAATAAAAGACATATCATACTCTAAATAGATGCTTTCTTACAATAAACATGGTATAAATAGCAACATATAACACAAGAAGGGTCACAACATAAGAAGGAAACTGAACCACAAGATAGGAAGAAACTGTACGACCAGAGTTTTTATGCAGTAATTCAAATGGTTGGTAAAGAAGACATTGTTATAACTTTCTAGTTTTGAGGTAACACTAGCAAAACATGGTTTGACATATGTTTATAAAGTAAAGGGTAGAAGCTTCAAAAATCATCACAACCAATGATTAAATTTGAACATCAGACGGTTCAGTGTACATCTTTGTAATGCTTGATGATAATACGAACATAGCTTAATGTTAACTTGATGTGAGAAACACCATGTAACAGTGAAAACTAAATAATACCTGGAAAGGGTTTGCAACAATGATACCTGCATAGCTACTAGTAGCATCAACAATGTCTTTTTCAATTGTTGTAGTGGTCTACGATGCTCAACTGCATAGTGCAAAAATTGTATCTGAGAGGGCAACAACTCAATGTTTCTACAACAAGTGTGTCTGAAAGCACAAAAATAGGATGTTTTGTCATATCCTTTGAAACAAGTGTTTCCTGAATAGTTACTTCACATGCAATAACTCTAGTTGTTATATCCTTTAGGAAGAAAGAAACACCTATACAAAAAGGAAGAGTAAGTCAACTATATCAAATTATACTTGAGTCTATTGAGTGAAAAGCAGGATTGAGTTTTAACCTTATCCATTAATATACCACATAGTAATGCATTCGAGTCAGTCAGCAATAAAGCATCAACTCTGCGAGCAGCCATCCTGCGGCAAGCATCATAAATACTTATAGAATCAGGTTCTGTTAGAGCTTTAGAAAGTGAAGATTATTTAGATCTAAAATTGCATCTAACAATTTACCTGACCAATTTAAATGGATAACGAGTTTAATCATTATTTAGATCTAAAATTGCATCAAAACTCAAATTATAGCACCAGTCCAAATTACCTGACCAATTTAAATGGATAACAAGTTTAATCTTTATGTAATATAATGAACTAAGATCCTGAAAAAGTGAAGATTATTTAGATCTAAGAGTGCATCTAACATTTTAAAAATGCATAGAATGAAAATATAACTATATAAATTATGATTTTCAAATACCAACAGAGTGAGTCTGATGAACGAGAATAAGGATGCAATATATGAGTCGAGTGACTGATTGCATCTCCCTTGCTAGAGCTCGTATTTTCTCCCTTAGATTCCTCAATTCCTCCAAACGATGTTGGAATTCTTCACGCTGTTTTTTCAGTTTCCCGATTGAAGGCAAGGAAGGACTATGGAAATCACCATATGTCATTGAAGAAGAGAGAAATATACAATGACGATGAGATTAGCAGAACAATGAATTCTTTTTTTTTTAGCAAGTCTGAATTAGTTTCCTTCTTTTGTTGCCCATGAAAATAAACGAGTGCCAAATACAATGGCGCACTATAAAAGTTAAACCTTAAGACAGGCACTGTTCAGTCTGTTCTCGCTTTCAAGTTTTCAAACTAGCAGAGAGTAAAGTTGTCTACATGGTGCTCTTGACACTTCAAGCACCCAACACCGCACTTTATGGAAAATAAACTAAGGAGGTTTTGATCATACGGTCGAAGCACTATAGCATTACCTCCTAAATAATCAGTCCAATTGCATCTATTGGATAGAAATTTAGTCACCTTACAAATAATTAGTCAGGATACAAATCTAGATGTATGAAAAAAGTGTGTAAATTATCTCAATGATACGAGAAAAAAATTGGTATATAATTATACAAAACATGAGGTAAAAGGCTGAGATACGTTTTACCCTGCACCTGCTCTGACCAACAGTAGTGAGCGTACACCATTTTTCAAGAACGTGCTGGAGTGAGAAAACTGACCTGGTCATTCACCATAGCTGGCTTCATCTTTCAGGTTAGAACAGAACTTGAGCATCAAGTCAATTTGCAGATACTGCCTATTGAGTATCCTTCAGCATAAAGTGGTATTCTCACCCCAAGTTCCTTTAATCGGTTCACTAAATCATAAAGAAATTCAAAGGTGAGTTTGTATTGTTTGTTAAAATCCTCTCGCACACTTGGCTGGATCCTAAACCACTTTCCCAACAACTTGTGTACATGAGAACAAATGATTCTCCAAGGCACTGGATATCACTGCAACACCCAATCCCCATTCAACAGTTCGATATCCAGCAAAGAGGGCTAGATTCTCAAGAAGAGGATCTGCTGAAAGTACCCCATCAGCACCAATTTCTTCAAAGAAACTATGTACATCATCGATGTGTCGAGAAGACGGAAAGGAAGCTCCGAGTCGTCAACCATTGGTGCCACTATAAGTTTGGGCTCGCCTAGCTTCTTCCAATGAGACCATGCTCTCTCTATCCGCGACTCCCCTTTCAAGTACCCATTTGGACGATTCAGAGCAACGACTGTGTTTCTTCTACATTTAGAACAAGAGCAAGTTGTAGGGTTTAGGGTATGAGATTTTTATTTGGGGCAAAACGTTTTGATTTGGGCAAAAAAAATAGCTTCTATTTTGATTTAGATAAAGAGCAGCTCCTACGTTAATTTGGGGTAAAATGTTTTTTAGAATATATTTCTTTGTATAGAATTTTTCTTTTATGAGTTCCTTTATTGACAAATTAGAAATTGGGGGGAAAGTTAAATATATTGGAGGGAATACAATATTTTAGTGAAAATTTTGGGAAAATTATAATCCTACACTTGTAAAGTGTTGTTTATAAAATTATAAAAATAGCACACTTTAAAAGTGTAGTCATATGTGTACATAAGTGTTGTCAATTATATCATAATTTGACAACGTTTATAAAGTGTAGCCTATACTACTAAAGAGCACGTTTTACAAGTGTTGCCAATATTATCGTTGCCAAAAGCTAAAAACTAAAGCTACACTTTAAAAGTGTATCCAAAAATATTTTTGGCAGCACTTTATAAGTGTTGTCTAGATTTAGTGTGGCCTTAGGACTAAAATGGTGTAGTGGGAGCGGTTTTGAGAATTGATAGTAAAATAGAATTTACATTCTAACCAGTCGTAGCTAAAGACATTTGCGATAAAAGACATTGTAAATTAAAGGTGGCGACACAAAAGTGTTTAATATCAAAGAGGGTTTTGTAACAAGTACTAAAACAGCAAAATAAACAAGAAAATGAAGTATGGGGAAAGGTTCTTGGGATGTGACCGCAATATAAGTTGAGATAAATTGTTGGGTACATGCTTTCGATAGGAAATTTGCAAAATAATAGTGACTAGGCTAAGCTTTAAATGGAAATAAGTTCCCTCTCGGGCTACTTACCCCATTTCGAATGCGTTCCTCTCGGACGCCCATTTGCCGCATGAAGACCAGCGTACGCCTTACCCGACTCACTCTCTCGAGCTGAGTGTTAGGATATGGGACTAATATTAAAATACATCTAACCTATTAGCTAGCAAAGCCTAACAAGAATATCAATCCATACTTGCTAAATTACACCCCAAGAATGGGGATTTTTAGCCACACATCAAGAAATAATAAATTATAACCTAACATGGTAATGAAATCAACTAGGTATAAAAAATTAAACCTTAAATTAAGCAAAGGAAAATTAATAGAGAAGACCCACTTCCAACTTGGGAAGAAGAACTACTTTCTTCAAGTTTCCACAAAACCCTCTCCAAACTTGAGAGAAAAATATCAGCTAAAGTATGTTCTGAAGTAAAATAATAATAATAATTGTTCCACACTAAGACTACAATTCTAACTAGTATTTATAGTTTTCACAGATTGTGCTGCGTAGGATTGTTCGGCGACATTAGTCGAGATCACCAATGAACTCTGCGATCCGCATTTTGGTCAGCTTATCGCCTTCAGTGTCTTGCCTTTAGCATCCTCGCATTCTGGGTCAATGGGCGGTATAGTACTGCTTCGCGGAACTGATTGGCGACTTGCCGACTGCTCCTTTCCTCGCCTTTTGATTCACTTCCTTCAACGCGAAGGGCGGTTCATGTCGTCTCGGCGACTCGCCAAGTTGAACTCGGCAATCCGCAGGATTCCATTTCTTGTTCTTTTCAGCCCCATTTGCTCCGTTTTGCGCCTAAGTGTCTATGCTTTCACTGAAACTTCAAATACCTGAAACTTCAGCATTTTAATCAGGTGTTGACATAAAACAAGCATTCAAGGACACTATTTCTAAAATAATAAAGCCCTAAATGAGTCCAATTTGTGGACTAATCAACACCCCCAACTTAAACTTTTGCTTGTCCTCAAGTAAACTTAAGTTCAGCCGTTCAAAAAGGGTGCCTCAACTAGTGCTACACAAGACTAAATCATGAATGCACACAACAAGAATCAATTTACTTATGCAAGGATCAATTGTGTACTCAAAGATTCAAATTGTGACACACCATCACCAAAGATTCTCATGCTCGGAATACTTGCTACTTGTGCAAGATCAAGCTTAAAAAAATATTTAAATGCCCTCGCACAAAGAATGATTCCATATTTACATACATATATGAGTCAGTTTAACATCAGGAATAAGATATAATGCTCACACTCAAAAAAAAGGAACACAATGCATGTTTTCACCCATAGGTTTGCCCTTATTTTCCAATTGACTTTCGATCCAGCTTACTCAAGATCAAAAAGGTCTTTCTAAGGCTTATAACGGGGCTGAGTGCAAAGGTATGGTCACTTAGGCTTAGTGACTTTTTCTTCGTGAGATGTGGTATTCTCAAAGCATTCCCTACTCTTCCTTTATCACATCTTTTTTTAGTGCTTCTAAGTCATCCTTTTATTCAATCCCCATGAATTGCTTTGAACCCCAATATCCTTTGTACTTTATTCCACAAATTTCTTTTTCAATCTTTTTTTGGAGGGCTCTATTGTTCTGCAACATGGGCAAATGGGGACTTCTTATAGCATTTCTTGACTTCTCCTTTTCCTTTTCACCACACCCCCAACTTAGGCTTTTTATCCTAATTTGGCTATTCACTAAACCACAAATCAAGAGGATTATAGGTAGTGGATCAAGTAAGGTCTAGGGTTTATCAAGGTTCTTCCAAATAAAGGTAAGTCACAAAGGTGTACAAAAGAGTTTCACACGCTCACAGGTAGGTCACAAAAAGAGGTATATGTCAAATTGGCTCACACTCTTTAAAATTGCCTATGATCATCTCAAGAGTACACCTTTCTAAATCAATCAGACTAACAGGGCAAACTCTAGGTTTATTCATGCAAGGTTCAAAGTAAGCTAAACACACAAGGCATCGACACTTAAGTCAAACAAGACTACACACTTTCGCTAGTGTGCAACAGTCATTACAAGAAAATCAATTCGATAAATGGCTAATCATAACGAGATGCAAAGAGTTCACATATTGTCTATGCAACTTCATTTGGCCTCACCGTAGCCGTACATTCATGTTCGTTCAATTGAGAGCACTATTCAAGTCATCGGTATTGATCGAATTGAGACTCAAATTTTTGCGAAATAACAGCCACATTCAACTCCCGAAGGGTGGCAAAAATGTGTGGAAAAATAAAAAAAATTCGGAAGTGTCAAAGTCATTTTGCAATTAAAAATAAGCTGAAACGGAGCCACAAGCTCAAACAATTGCAAAGCAGTTTTCAAAGCACAATTAAAAACATAACAGCCCAAATGTAATCACAAAATGCGAACATCAAATAGTACACAAAAGGTGTGGGCTTTGTGACCACACCCCACCACAATTGAAAATATATATGTCCTCAAATATATGACAATAATCCAGAGGTTAAATTAAAGAAAGACAGAGATAGGGCTAGAGAATAATCCTGGTTAGGCAGCTGCTTCGAGTTGGAGTCCTCAACGGATGTCTCGTAAAAAAAAAGATATGCTGGGGACGGTTGGTGCATTGCCGAGTGATTCATCAAGTTCTGTACAACTTTTCTTAGCATTCCAATACACCTATCTTCAACCCACACTCTCGAGTGATAAATCAACTACTTTTTTGTGTGTATTGGACTGCAACTTATCTATTTTGTTCCCATTCGGTGACAGCGCTTTGGCTTCTGAGTGATTCGGCGCTTCGCCAAACAAATTTGTACTTCGCCGAGTTTTACAGAACTTCTCAACAGCTGTGGATGTTCAAACGGTGGTGACTATCGGGGTCACTAATCAGGTAGACGAATTGCCGAGTTTTACAGAACTTCTCAACAGCTGTGGATGTTTACAGACTCGAGGCTTAGAGGGTGCCTTGAGTCAAACGGTGAAATAGCATTGCTCACCGGTGTCTTCGGTGATTCGCCAACTAGATCTATTGCTTACCATTCTACACCTCTTTGGCACCTACCACACATAAATCTGCAAGACTAAGACACTATTATTTTACTAGTACACAAATATAAGATAATATGGAGTTTTGGGTTGCCTCCCAAAGAACCCCTGAGTTAACGCCACGACACGACCCAAGTCAAAGACTACTCTTCGTCCTCGAAATCACCCATGGTGTAGTTAGGTGAGTCCTCGGCGAATGGTGGGTATTGACCTGTCATCAAATGGTTTATCTGAGCATCTTGCAGCTGAATCATCATGGAGTTTGCGGTGGTCGTTTCATTTAGCATTTCAATGTTGTCTTTGATGTCATTCAACTTCTTGTCCTGTTCTTCAAGTTTTTGCCGAATGATTGAAAGGGTATCATCTTTTTGCACACCCTCATTCTTCTTTCCATGTTTGCACTCTCGAAGGGAGAAGTCCTTCTCCCTCTCCCTGGCTTGTTCTTCCAATCCAAACACCCATTTAGATAAGACATCTACTTGAGCCACCAATTTGTCCCATTTATATTTATTTTGAGTTTCTTTGTTGGCTTCAACCATATTGTCAAGTAGTGTGGCGAC